CTGTTGGTATATAGAAGACACCTCCCGGCTGGCTCTGAACACGATGTGACTAGACGGGCTAATAGGCGTGAACTAAAGCAGAGCCTGCGTGCTGACAAGGAAGCCTGGTGGACCAGTAGGGCTCAAGAAATGGAGGAGGCAGGGGCAGTAGGCAATTACCGCAAGCTCTTCCAGCTAATCCGCACCACTGGTCCCAGAAAACCAGACGTCAGTGAGACAATCAGAGACAGCGCCGGTGCGCTGATACAGAAGAAGGAGCCCCGTATGGTTCGTTGGGTGGGACACTTTCAAGATAAGTTCAGATGGCCCCCTGGTCCCGGACCTCCTCCTACTCAGGTGATGCAGGACGAGCCATGGACGGTTAGTTTAGAGCCTCCGTCAGAGGCCGAGGTCCGAAAAGCGATTACAGCCCTCAATCGTTTTCGTGCAGCTGGCCCGGATTCCCTTCCACCTGCAATGTTTAAGGATGGAGGTGAGGTCCTCTGCAAAGCACTGATCTCCCTATTTGAATGTATCTGGAAGGAAGAGGGTGTCCCGGCTAATTGGAGCGAATCGATTACATTGGCAATATACAAGAAGGGCAGTCGCACAGACAGTTCTAACCACAGGCGTATTAGCCTAACGCTAGTTGTGACAAAATTATTGGCCTCGATTATCGTTCGTCGCCTCACTCCGGAACAGGAATCTCGGATTAGGGAAGAGCAGGCCGGTTTCTGCCCAGGACGTGGCTGTATAGACCATATATTCACTTTGCGGCAGGTGCTAGAGCAGCGCCACGCATACCGCAGATCGACAATAGCTGTGTTCCTCGATTTCAAGAGTGCGTTCGATTCAGTCGATCGATCGATTCTGTTCGAAATACTTGCGCGGAAAGGTGTTCCCACGAAATATGTGAACCTCCTTCGTGCTCTATACTCGAACACTACAGGTCGCGTCAGGGTCTATGGTGGCCTATCGGATAGCTTTCCGACCACAGGTGGCGTTCGTTAGGGTTGTCCGATTTCCCCATTTTTGTTCAATTTCGTCGTGGATTCTATCATGGAGTGTTCACTTGGGGGATCTCACGATGTAGGCGTTGAAGTGCTGCCTGGTGAAATGTTAGTTGAACTAGATTATGCGGACGATATCGTCTTGCTTTTCGACAATATTGGGGCGGCAATATCAACCCTGAATAGCCTGTCCAGAGTGGTCCCATTATTTGGTATCCACTTCGCACCTTCAAAGTGCAACGTGTTGCTGCAGGACCACCAGCCACTTGATGACCCCTTGACGCTTGATAACGAGGAACTCGAGGTGGTTGATCATATCACTTATGTTGGCGGCTGCATCAGCAATGACGGGCGCATAGAAACTGACGTCAGCTCACGCATTGCAAAAGCCAGAGCCACCTTCTTGAACCTGCGGCATCTTTGGCGACCGAAGGGAGTTTCCCTCCGTCTGAAAGACCGTGTATACAAGGCCACAGTGAGGTCCGTTTCGCTGTATGGTAGCGAAACTTGGCCCCTTCGGTCTGAAGATCTGAGGCGCCTTCAAGTCTTTGATCCTCGTTGTCTGCGTAGCATTGCTGGTGTCGGATGGCACCAGCGTGTCCGCAACGATGATGTGCGTAGGCGAGAACTAGGTGGTGATAAGCATGCTAGCTCCCTAGAACAACAGATAGCACTAAATAAGTTGCGTTAGCTTGGGCACGTTCCACGTATGCCTGGTCACCGCTTACCTAGGAGGGCCTTGTTTAGTCTGCCAGGTGTAGGGTGGCACAAGGCTCGAGGTGGACAGAAGTTGACTTGGCAGCGGGAAATGAACTCACTGACGACCAAACCGGATGCCGTTGGTCCGCCTCGCCTTGTGCTTGGCTCGAGACTTTACAGGACATGGCTCGCAGTCGACACCAGTGGCGCGTCTGCTGCTGCCTCCTTATTGGATTGCCTGTTTAAAGCGTGTTTGGTGCTGATTTATCTGCGGGGTAATGGCTGATTATGACGCGTGGCAGTGAAAGCCGCAAGGAAGCTGTCTCGCCGATGCCGCCTTATCTTTGCACGGTAGCCAGCGGTTTGTGACGGTATGTTGTCTACACAAGGTGTAGGCGCCTTGACCCTGAATGTTTGCTTAGGGCATTAAGGTTTTCAGGTAAGTCCCCCTTCTCTCCCTCTTCTTATTCTTTATTTCATAGGTCCTCATGGTTGTATGGAAGCGAAGCATCAGTTCAAATGGCTGATGTACTGCTGTTGATGATGATGATGGTGCTCAGCGTTGCCGCGTGCGTTCACCGAAGCGAACTGTAAGATCGACACAAACGAGTGCGTGCTCACATTCCACGCTTGTGCTCCGAATCGGGCGATAGTTGTGGACACAGGTTCTCTAGCGGCAACTGGTCGCGATGTGATCTATTTGTCTATGGAGGGTCCGACGCTGGTGGGCGCCATGTCACATATCTGCGAGTGCTGTCGGAAGTCAGTGCTCGCAAGATATAGACGAGTACCTTCACACAAGTGCAGCAGCTGCTTAATGTTATCTCAAGGGGAACCTTCACTATATTGGGCCCCCAGATGAAGCACAGCAGTGGACAACTTTTCAACCTGGACGTTCAGATTACCAGCCAGCAACACAGTATCCGTACATTTCCTGTAACGAAGGAGCTCGAATAATTGGTGATAGATGTCATCTTTCACAGCTAGTGCTACAGTTTCGTATGCAGCAATGACAAACAGGTACCGTTTATCTGCGTGGAAGTTCGAAGAGTTAAACAAGCAAATATATTTGACGGCGCACATCCGATTGTTGATGCTGTCAGGGCAGACTGAGCTCGAAGGCTCCGAGTAATGGCCACACCGGCTTGATCAGTATTTGAAGCTGCGTCATCTCCGGACAAAAGTAATGAGAAAGTGCCGCCAGTGCCGCTTGTGAGATCGCGGGATGAGAACAGAACTAAATCCTTGCAGGCGAGTTTCCGACAAACAGCAGATATCGATCAATAGGGTCTATAAGGTTTGGGAAAGTGTTACCTTTTGACCGATCTGTAACAGTGTGTGTACGTTGAGACATGACAATCTTAGTGAGAATCGAGCGCCCCAAAGAGAAGTGGATGAACTGACGTTGTCCGCTTGGTTGTACATGGACGCTGACTGGACCGGAGCGACGCCCGGCGGTTGCGTGTCGCAACTAGAAGACAAGCAACCATGGTAGTAAGATGGGAGAAAGCCGAGAAATGGTGTTTGAGAACCGGGGGATAGAAGTAAAGTCGGAACAGGATGATGAGGATGAAAATGTGCAAGAAGAGGAATGAGAAGACGAGGATTGAGCAGTAGACACCAAAAACATCCTCCCTGCTCGATGCAGCAGATAGGACGCTGTTGATTAGCTTCTGCTACAGCCAGAGCGTCAATAAAACGTTAGAAGAGAAATTCATTGTATTGCGTAGACATACTCTCAGATTGCTTAGGTCTAGATAGAACGATTAGGGTTCTCAACCAAAGCCTTTGGTTACAAAACCTGACCGCAAGGCGACGGGGTTTCGACACTGCGCTATAGAGAGTGTTTTATGGAGTAAGGAGCCACCTTGGTGATGAGTAAGATAGGCACCCCGCTGGATTTGTGAGAGTGGATATAATGAAGACGCGCAAAATGAGATTATCAGAGTCTAGTTAAAAGGGACAGATAATGAGAACAATTTGACTGATGTGGAACTGTCTTAAGCTAACAATGATAAGATCACGTTAATGGTCGCGGGAAGTTCAGTGGGTAATAAGGTGGAAAGGTCCATAATATAAACAACACTAGTGATGCAAAAACTGGTTGGGAAATACGATTGCCATGACAAATGACTCGAAAGTTCCCTTGAAGGTACTTAGGCATCGGTAAAGGGCTCATCCGAGAATCTATATCAACTGAACCAAAGGCAATTTGTACCACTTTTGGCATAGGCATCAACAGTACGCCGTATCAACGCTTCACTGCCACGCAACCATCGCCAGTCGCGCGAGAGCTAAGGGTTCTGCAATGGTCGCTTGGTCCCCTACGCAGGCTCGTGACCGAGACCACCGGGTTGCAAGGCAGATGTTTTGTCCTTACGGTCAGGGGCCGGCAATACAGATAAAAAAGCGCATTGTACATAAAGTTTGTTTAGTGTTAGTTATGGTTAACGTAGAAAAAATAAAGTTCCCGAAAGCTGCTTCACGAGCCTGAGCATGTATAAAGGTGAAAAGACATAACAAGAGGTCAAGGGGTTCAAGAACGCATATCTAACCACAATAACCACGTAAACAGATTAGACCGGCTTTACGTAGATATGGTCTACCACCAAATAAGATTAGCAATAGGGAGAAGCATGAATGTAAGATGGCCTTAAGAACAAGTAAAAAAGGCGAAAAAATGCAGGTTAAAAAGTTGAGGATTTTAGTGGAACACGCACGGACATGTATAAAGCCAGGCCAGGTATCATGAAAAATAGAAGGAACTTCAGCTTAATACATACCTTCTCTTGACAAGCTCCACATAATGCAAAGTATCCTCCGTCTCTGCGGTTGGCGTTTCGGTTTACGTTCAAGGTTAGAAACCATTAAGTGAATGATGTAAGGAATGAGATGCTAAAACATTCGCAATTCATAAACTCTGTATGAATATCGTATCAGCTACGCATGTATGAGATTCAAGATCCTGGAAACATTACAACACGCGATCCCGCACTTCCTTCAAGTCAGTTTAACGAAATTCCTCGACACCTTGCAGCTAAAAGTTATGGTTGTAGAATGTGCTATAGCATACGACAGAGAGCCGTATGTTTGTTAGTGCAGAGCGTATTGGAACAACCGCTCAAAAAATTATGCTGGTGCGATAAAGGTCTGATAGAAAGAAAAAGCAAGTGAGTACGCCGACGAGTGGCAAGATGTGCGTACCTAGAACTACCCCGTCCGCTTAATATTTCTTCCAATGAATACACATGTTCGAACTGGTCGGAAAATCAACTCAAAAACGTGTCTTATTTGTGAAGTCACAATTATTACCTTCAATAATGAACGGCTCCAGCTTATCCAAGGGAAGTTCCAAATCTCTGGCTGCCGCATCGTAGCTTAGCTCAGTTTGGTTCTCGGATAACTGCATCAGAGATAAAAGCCTCAGCTTCTGCATGCAAGCATCTTCCAGGAGACCATTTTGGGTGAGGAAATCTGGGTGTTTTGAAATGAATGTCTTGAAAGCAGACAAACTGCCAGAGACGAATATTTTTAAAAACTAAAAAGTGACTAGACAAAGGTCAGTTACGTCGTGGACTGGTTCGCCTTCAAGGAATCGAATAGGGTACAAGGCATAGAGCTGATCATGTGCCAAGAGTGAAGGATCCTGGATTACGGACAGAATACATCTAAAATGCTGCGTTGCACTGAATAATTCTACTTGATAGCATCTTGTCTCGCTTGTGCAGCAGTAGCCTCAGTGTATGTGGACAGTAAGTACACTAATGCTTCTGATGCACGGCGCTTCTCGTTCAATTCAGAATGAACCTCGTGAAGTTTTCGCCAAATTTTCTGGCGTTCCTCGACGCTACTTCCGCACGTATTTAACCAAGAAGCAACCTAAATCGTTAGTGGATGCAAGGTGTACCGACCTTCTTGGGATCCGTTATTATCTGAGACATCATACCCAGCTTTCTAGCGCAAGAAACTAAAGTCAGGTAAATGGTGCATTTATGATGGTTATCCGGAAGTAATCCATGGAAGATCAGATTCAGTCTGGAGGGGTGATTAAAAAAGCATGCTTACGAAAAGAGTTTCGGTTTGTGCTTCTTAACACTTTCACTTGAAAAGTCTAAATATTGATCGCACAAACGACTGATAACGCTGTCGTGTTCAAGCGGAGGCAATTGTATCACCAACGACGCCACGCTGGTTAGGATATCATTTACTTCTACGCTTTTGGAGAATAATTAATGAATTTATTTATTACCGGTTTCTGTAATACTGTCGTCTTTCCAGCAAACCCCCAGGAATTGTAGGCACTTTTTAAACTCTTCCCACCAATTTTCCTGATGACACTCGGTACTTTCAATGGCCTTACAACCATGTGCCTTCAGAAACTTTTTCAGTTCAGATATCTTCAAATATCGAAAAATGGGAAAGACGTACCTGCCTAGCTTCATTGCAAGAGATAAAAACCGCGACACTCATTGTCGAGAATATGGGCACAAACGGGGGCGGGAAGAAAGACGATGTGCCCAAACTATTGAGTTTATTGAGGTAAACAAGAGCCTCAAGGTCAGTGAGGGATGGTGGTAGCTGCTGATAATATCCAGTAATCCAGTAATTCCGCAAGAACATCTGGTAGGCGATCCATGATAAGAGTGTCGTTGATATAGAATAAATGTTCACAAACCAATCTCAGTTTCGTCCTCCTTTGTGGTAAATTGAAAACCAGAGCTTGTCATCGCTTTTCACTTTCAAACGAACAGTGTTTACATAGTGTATTGTGTAAAAGTTTTCACTTTGTCAAATTTCGTTTAAATCAAAAAATTTTTGAGCACCGGTCCAATGATATTCATCAAATGTAGTCCATTTTATTCACCTTAGTCTGAATGTTTGCTGGCAGTTTGTGTTTTGTAATCCGTTTTGCACACCGTTTCGCTCGTTACTGTTGCTTTTGATTGCCACTCATTTAACGGTTTGCTGTTTAACCTTTTGCCACTGGCGCTTGAACTCGTTCTATCAATTTCACCGAATAGCGACGCTGTTGTCTTCGGCTGCATTGGACAGCGAGTCTACTACTGTTTGTAACAGTTTTAGCGTCTTTAAACCTTAAAGGGTGGGTCTGGTGGCATGCAGAGCTGTCTGCAACTGCTTTTTACCGTGTGACGTGTAGGGGGTCTGAGTTCTGCCCCCATACGCTATGTCATCGGCCAGCAAGTGTTTGTTATTCAGTTGTGCTGTATGCTGTAGTAGACGTCATGGGGGTCTTGTTGTCACTGTTGAGGCGTCAAACAACGCCAGGTTGGGTGGGCAGCAAATGTGATCATTCCTCAGCCATCCTGCTCACAAAGTAGACATGCAAATGAAGACATTTGGAGTCTCCATCCTTGTGCATCCCTAGTGAGGTTCCACCCAGTCCGTTTCATCTGCTGTTAGTGTGAAACCACCTACATTGTTGGCTAAGGTATTGTGTGTTCCAGCTACACAGTATGCCTCTAACGAGGTCTGTAGCGATTGTAAATAATTTGCGTATTTTACCTTTTCAGGTTTACCTATTTCGCTGCACTTGTTGTACAGCTTTGTTTTAATTAACTAGATATACACACTTGGTTTCGAGCTCGCTTTCCGTGGTTCTACCTTGGTTGCCGCTGGATTTTTGTGATTGTGCGCGTCGCTTCTTGCTCTATTCACCATCGGACTCTACGTACACGTACACTTTGTCATAACTCGCGAGTTACGATCGTCCGACGCTCAGACGTGTCAGGATATTTTATATGTGAGATAAACCTGACTGATTGAATATTCTCCCTTGCCGGTCCCTCCATAGTTCTCTGGCTGGCTATCCGAACAACCGTTTTGTGGTTTAGCAGGGTGCGTCTCTTTTAATCCGTTTCGGTAAATAGTTTGGCGACAGTGTTCCAGGACGCGGTGGATGGTAGCCTGGCAAGTGTTCTCCGTATAGAAATCCAGCGAGGCATATTTATCAGCTCTGCCAGAAGGCAGATGTGACTTGTCACAAACTGAAGTTACCGCCCCGTGAATATCCGGATAATTCTATCCAACGCCCGGATAGCACTCATATACTCTCATATTTCCGATGTTGATTTTGGGTGGCGCCTGGGATACGAGTTGGTAATCCATGACACGTAAGAGAGGTGTCAACTACGAGACGGTTGGGCAGTTGGAGGCGACTGAACCCAACGTGTATTGTGCAGGGTGCGTATATAAAAGGCGAATCAAACCGAGCGAGAAACGGTAATGTAAAATCCCCACCGAAGCAATTTGTGTCAATGGAAGTGCTGGCAGTAAAACAGGTAGAAGTTTTGAGGGTTAAATTAAAGGGTAAAATCCAGTGTTGCAAAATACTCAGAGGGCGTATTTTCTGGTACACTATACTGGCCACTTCATAGTACTATGGAGAATGGAAGCCTTGGATGGGGCTGGTAGTCGGGGAAAACGGGTGAGGATGATTGCAAATAATTGCATGGGCTTTAACACAGTCTCCCAACGTGGCGCGTAGCACACTTCCTTGGGTCCAGGATATTGTTAATTGTTATTTCTGATGCTCTGTGGACCAGGGTGCTCCATCAGTAGGTCGTCGGAGCAGGCTGGTCGGACTGCCAAATAAACTTACTAGACCAGACATAAAGCCGACAGGACATGCCCTCCGCTGCAGACACGACGGTGCACTTGGGAGGTGTTACTTTTGCGCCACACTTCAGTCCATGGTCCTATTCCGACGGAGAAATCCTAGCATCCTCGTAAGCAAACGCTTGGACAGATGGTTGGGGGCCATCCTGGCCGTGACCGTGCACGGTCAAGGGCGGCTGACTACCCCTTGGGTAAGGAAGGGGCCTTGTGCTTGCCGGCCAGTTACTCGTGGTGTGCGTTGATCCGCTTGGCCAGTAACTAGGGGATCGGGTTGATCCGGTTGGCAGGTCACTCGTGGTTGTGCCAAGTCGGTTGATGAGTCACTTCAGGGTTGCCTTGGCGGTTCCGCTGGGTAAGTTTCTGGAAGATAGCAATCGGATTACTGTTTGTCTTATCCACCTCTTATCCATATAGGCGTTCCATCAAGAAATCATCCATTCCGGCTTGCACTCTCTTTACCTTCCTACTTGCATTGGACGGCTTCTCCTGAACGGTTAGAACGGAGCTACTTTTGTCTGAGCTGTTTTCCACTTTCCGACGGCGTCAAGAGCACTGAGTCATAAAGGATCTACATTCCGCAATCCGCCGCTCTGTTACCCTTACCTCTAACTGAAGCCTTATGTGTCCTCTTCACCTTTAGCAATGTTGTCTCTCCATCCCGTACCTATCCTTTCTTGCTCGGGTAAGTTCGTTTGCACCCGCCTGCAACTGGGCTGCTTACCCCCAATGCGCATCATCGCTAGCCTCAGCTGAAAGGGTCCACTGCTTCCTGCGGTCTCCAGTTCTACCAAGACGCCAACGATACCTGGCGTCTAACTCAGCCCTCCCCTGACACAAGCTAGAGAGACTTGTTGATCCCATTGACACTTTCTCGAGGCACACACCTTCATCCAAAACTTATGCTTACTGTCTCCTTTCTGTCTACATTCTTTCTGTAATTCAAGCGCTCACCTTCTATGCGCTGCACTGAACTAAACTCGTCTTGCTTGCTGCCTGTATGCTCCCAACCCCTTGAGCTTTAATCGTCATGTCGTCGACAACGCCATCACTATATGCGTCTTCATTACATAGACCATTTACTCATTCACACTCTATCGGTATAAGGTTTTATCATCCAGCATATAACCTTTCATCCTTCCGAGTTCTCTTTGAATTCTCACTTGGCTGGAAAGGGTTAATCACAACGTACCGTTTAGATCTAATCTACTCTGATTAGTCAGTTTTAGAGAGCTCGTCACCAGTTAGACTTAAACAATATACCTCATCATACCTACACAATATTCACCTTTCCTCCATAGACTGATGGCCATATCACCCTTTAGCAATATCAGCTATTTGATGAAGCTAAAATTATATAACTATGTCGCCATGTATGTCCTTTACTTCTTTGCTGGTCGGCTTACACTCCATTCGCAACTTCGATCTCCTCTTGTCTCTCTCGTCCTCTCCCTGACCTTCTCAGTTAATGCGTGGTTGTTTGGTAACGCCTCTCTAGGTCTGCCACGTACCATGGGGAATAACTTTAATTATTTACACAGTTAAATGATCTTGTTTCGGCAGGCTCACTTCGTCTTCCTCCTGTGGGCGGGTGTTAGTCAAACCTACCCTTTGTCGGTAATTGCTTTTACATCCGAAAGCTGTGCCATCGCCTTCATTTGGTAGCTTTTTCAGTACCTGTCAGCTAGCGGGATTTTACGATTATATGAATGACGCATATCTCACCAAACTATAGCTCTTGCCACATTCACTAAAATGGGCCATGCTAGGTATATGGCGACTGATTAATTGTTCCACGAGCCCCTATACGTCCATTTAACTTTCAGATTATTAACTTATACCCACCGGGCCAAACTGGCGAACCGGTATCTTCTTATTACCCCAATGTGCATCCGCTTCCTAACCAATTACCCTTAAAATCTGTGACCACTTGACCACTGCATAAGAACACGTTTATCCTAGATATATAAATACCCGGTTCACCCTTCATCTTGCGAATAGGTAATCGGCACACTGTTGCCAGCACATCATGTTTGTTGTGTTTGCTTTTGCCTGACTGTTTAGCTACGTTAGGATTGTTACCCGACTTTGCAGGATTACCGCAGAAAGTTTTACCATCATCCGAAGTCATGAGTTGGTGCGGCAGCAACTCATTCTTAGGCTTACTTTTTGTGACAGTGTGATATGGATAGAATACGTATATAGGCATATATTTGATTGTGAAATATTGTTTGGTATTGCTTATTTTTTCCATGTATATAATCCATTGTGTGTTCGTGCTCGGGTTGTGTATGAGACTGAAGAGAACAATCGAAACGTTGAACTATCGCAATCTCTTGCTTCTCTATGCCTTACCAAATGCTTGATAGATCCGATGGAGGCACACTGCTAATGATGGCTAACTGGCTGAAACTTCTTCCAGTGCATTTTCTGGCACGTGTACGACTATCAGATTTAGAGCTGGCTGAGACGTGCCCTAAATTAATTTTATCCAATGTCCCTAATCATGAGTAGCTCAATAACAATTTGTTATAAAATGGTATATGCCGCCGCAGCATTTATCCAGCACCCGAACTGATCCCATATGTGGTTGGGATCGGGCACTTGCAACAGGCTAAGTGTTGTGATCTGTAATTGCTAAGTCACCTGCCTGGCGGTTGTTTTGATGGGGCATTTGTAACCTTATTTCTTTCCTCTGAACAAAATTTGTTGGCGTGCTTATGACATGGTTTTACTTTACACAGAGCGCCGCGAACCATTGTACTCGCTGGCTCCACACAATTCATTTGGTTGGACCCGTTTTTGGAAAATCTGTCTTGTGAATTTAGTGAACAGAAGCCATCCCAATCGATACAGTGTCCCAATACAGCTTTACTTTGTTCCGTTCTTTTGAATTATTTATTGTTTTATACCAATAAAAAGAAGCAGTTTACCATCCTGGAGCAAATGTTGTCGGGCGATTCCATCTATACATGCAACTCAATAGT